GCCTGCTGGGCCTGGAACCCTCCTGTCCTCCTAGGCTGGGCGGCGGGTGCGTTTGCACAAACTTCTGACTTTCGTGGGTGGTTTCTGTGACTTTGGGCCAAGCAGCTGGAAGGTCTGTGGGCTCCCTCTGTGCCCCAGTCTGTGGCGATGCCTGTGATAGCAGGTGTGCTGCTGACCAACAGCAGTGGGGGTTGGGGTCCCCTTGCCAGGCGGTACCTGGAGCCCTCCCAGCAGCGGGCAGGCCTCCCCCACCCCTAGACAGACACGGGCGCAGGCACGGCCCCAGGATATGTGGGGGACACCCTCGAGGGCCACCCAGCAAACACGTCCCCTGCGGCCTTTGCAGAACGTCCAGGGGTGGGGTCCTGTCCCCTCCAGCCTGGTCCTGCCCTCTGCTGCTGGCTGAGCCCCTGGGGGAAGCTGGCCCCAAGTCCAGGCCACTCTGGGGCACGTCCTCACTCCCCTGCTGCCTGGGGTGCGGGGTGACCCCTTGGAGCCCCGTCTGTGCCAGGCCTGGCTGAGGAGCCGTCGGCCACACAATCACATCTCCTGGTACTAAACTGCAGTGCCTCCTCCAATGGCCCCTCCTGCCTGTGCTCACACCCTTGACCTTGGAAGCCAGAGTGGCTGACACCCCAGAGAGCCGCCCTTGGGGGGAGGGCCTCCCCCCCTCCCCCCTGCTGGGGCTGCGTGTCCAGGACAGAGCGACAGGTCGTCCCGATGACCTGCTAGGACGGCCAGGAGACGGCTGCACTTCCTGTTCTTCACGTCCTGAAGTTTACTTTGTTTTCCTGAAGCTGTTTGGTTTGTTTTGGGTTTTTTTGTGTTTTGGGGTTTCTTTTTTGCCAAAATACAAGGAGCAAGCGGCAGGGGGGAGCGTTGGGTCTGCGTCCTCCTCTGTGGAGCTGGTGGAGCTGCGCGGTGCGTGCGGCCAGGCCGGCTCTGCACAGCTGACCGCCGACCAGCCCTTCCCAGAGGCTCCGGCGACCAGTCTCCTCACACCTTCACCTTGGCTCCTGCGCTTGCTTCTTCCTGGACGTCGGAGCCGTGGTGTCTGTGCAGTGGGCGGCGTTGGGCAGCCGAAGGGGCGTGGGCTGGGTGAGACCTGGCCTTTCTCCTGCGATACCGACCTCGCCTTCCTCCCTGGCCGTGTCCTTCGGGGCGCCCGCGTGCTGGGGGTTCAGAGGTTTTGGGTTTCTGGGACCCGGGTAGGGGGCGGGGAGGCCGTGGCTCATGGAAGGCGGTGGGTATGTGCCCTTTTCCTATAATGCTACTGTAAATAAACGTTGATTGAAACATTGCTCCAGGTTTGCTTCAGTGGCTTTGGGGTGGGGGGCGTAGGTGGGCCCCTCAGTGTGGCCGTCGGGCCCCCCACGCAGGAGGCTGAGGGATCTGGGAGGACAGCAGGCGGGTCCAGGGAATCGGATTCTCAGGCCCCAGACAGACAGAATCTGGAGTTTTTACCTTGAAATAATTTTGAACATAATGTGGTTGAGACTATTTCAGGACGAGTATTAAAGCCTCTCACGCCGCCAGGGTCCCTTCGCACCGCCTGACAGCCCCCCAGAAACAGCCCTGGCGTAGTGGGGTGATGAGCAGGTGCCCACACATGTCCCTTCTGGTCACTTTGGATCCTCCGGGGGAGGTGCTAGCTGGGGATGAGGCAGGGCCGTGCCCACGAGACCCCCAGCTGCTCCCACAGCCTGGGGGGTTCATGCCTCCTCCCAGGGGCTGGGGAGCGAATAGCACAGCTGCCCAAGTGGCTGCCAGGGTCCGCAGGGCCATGCTGGGCAGGGCCGCCTGAGCAGAGGAATTCCTGCCCGTCGGGTTGCCCCACGCCCGGCGTCAAAGCCTGCCCTGTCGAGGGCACGTTCTCGGGCCTGGAGAGGGCTCTGACCTGGTGGGGCCCCGCCAGGGTCTGTCACCCACGAGAATTTTCATCTCAAGACACAGGCACCGAATGTCCAGCGGGAGGTGCTGTTCCCCTCCCGACCCACGGATGTGTGCGCTCTGCCCAGGCCCGGGAGGGGATGGGGGCGGGGCGGGGGGGGGGCAGGACCAAGTTCACTGGGAGGAGACCCTGCAGGTGGCCCGGGAGAGGCCTGCTGGCCTCGCCTCCAATCTGTCAGGAGGCTGAGCCAAGGGGGTGCGTGCACGTGTGTGAGTGTGTGTGGGTGTATGTAGGTGTGTGTACATGCATGTGGGTGTGTGCATGCATGTGTGCGCACACGTGTGTGCAGGCATAATTAGGAGGAAGTGGGTGTATAGGTGGGAGTGTACAAGTGCAGGGGGGGCGGTGGCACTGCAGCCTGGGCTGTGTTTAAAGACCCTCGCATGTCCACGCGAAGCCCCTGTCAGACCCGAGTCCTTCCTGGCCTGTCCTACCACCACTCAGGCCTCCTGTGCCTGGACGTCCAGCCAGGGGCCCTTTCCCAGGATGTGCCCGGGACGCGGGAGAGCCCTCCAGGATGACACCCTCAGGACGCAAAGGGCCGGTGCCTTTATTGAGGGGCCTCTGTGGGCCTGGCCTGAGCCCCCCACAGCGCACGGCCCGGGGGTCCCAGGGCCCACGCAGGACAGGCCAGTCCTTGTGCGCAGGAGCAGTTCCTGGGGTCGGCTGCCCCGACGGCCAGTGTTCCCTGTGCCGGGGCTTGGTCCCCAGGCTGTCACAGGAGACGCAGGCCGAGGAGGAGGGCGGTGAGGGAGGCCAGCAGGGCCGCGGGCTGGAGGTGGAGGCGGGGGGCCGCTGAGTAGCCATAGCTCGTCCGGCAGGAACTGTCCAGGTAATTCTGCTCGATGGGCATCTCCTCGGGTTCCCGGGCGTGGTTGCTGGCCTGGGGACAGACAGGGTTGGCTGCCTGCTGCCACCGGCTGGGGAGGGCAGGCGCGCCCACAAGCCTCACCTGCTCCACCGCCTCGAAGACCCTCAGCAGGTTGTCAGCCAGGGCGCCCCTGACCTCCGCCTCCGTCCACTGCCTCCTGAGCAGCTCGGCGACCAGGTTTGGGTACTTGGACACGTCCTCAAGCCCCACCGGGAGCCTGAGATGAAGGCCGAGAGGACCAGGCTGTGCAGCCAGGGGTCGGGGTCCTGGGGCCCCAGCCACCTGCCCATCCTGAGGCACGGGGAGTGCCTTGGGATGGCCTTCGGAGCGAGAGAGGTGCTGGGAAGGCCTGCAGGACACACTTCCCTCCTCCAGCCCCTCCTGACAGGTTCCTGGGGGTCGCGACCCCCAGCTCACACACAGAACAGTCTCCGTCCTCACCTGGTAACACCGTCGAAGTCCCCACCGAAGCCCACGGCTCCGGCTCCCGCCACCTTCTTGATGTGGTCCAGGTGGTCTGGGGGGAGGCAGCGGTGTGGGTCCTGGGAGAGGCGCCCTGCCCCCAGCCATGCGTCCGCTCGCACCCACCTACCTGCCACTTGAGACAGGTTGGCCTCCCTTTTGCAGGCGACGTAGTCATTGTAGAAGTTCACCATCACCAGGCTGCCCGTCTGCTTCTGCTCAGAGAGAGAGGAGCCGTGGGCACAGGGTTGGGGGCAGCACTGGAGCCCGGGAGGACCGCCGGGGCCCAGGACCGCCCGGGGCAGCGCCCCGCCCTCACCACCAGCTGGAGCACGTCGTCCGGCACGTTTCGCCGGTGCTTGCACAGCGCGAAGGCGGAGGAGTGGCTGAAGATGACGGGGGCCTGGGACTGGTTGAGGGCGGCCTTCATGGTGGCCACAGACACGTGGGCCAGGTCGATGATGATGCCCAGCCGGTTCATCTCCCTCACCACGCTCTGAGGGGACACGGGGCTCAGGGGCCGGGAGCGCCGGACCCCGGTCAGGGGGCGATGGGCCAGGCGGGCTGCACTGGGGGCACTTTATTGGCACAGGCCTCTGGGGCTCACCGCTGCCCCCCGAGAGGTGCAGGCAGGGGGAGGCGTTTGGGGAGGGCCCCCTGCTGGCCAGGTGTCCAACACTCCCTGGCTGGAGGGTTGGGGCCACTGCGGTGACCAATGCGTTCCAGCTACATGCTCAGCCCGGGACGCTCCGTTTTGCAAGCGAGGGAAACCGAGGTGCTTGCCCCTGCCACCCACCTTCCCGAAGTCGTCCGACAGGCCGCCGCTCTGGGCATCGTGGTCCCCGGTGTCCACCAGCCAGTTGTCCGCCCTGGAGGG